ATTGTATCTGTCGTCGAAAAACATTGCAATCGTTAGTAGCATGAGAAAATGAATTATGGTATTTGCAATAAGCACGCCGTTTCAGCTCATCAAACGGCGGTATGGTGTGTGATATTCTAATCATCTTATCCTGCAAGAGAGCATCAAATATCTTATCACACTTAGATATATCAAATGTAAACCTCATCTCCTCAGCACGATTCTTGCGAATCGGCTTAAGAGCATTGCATGTATAGGGTTTGGCCTTTGAGGACCAAACAAACTCAGTAGTATAAACATCAACCTCATCATCCGAATTATCATCATTGTGTTCAACCATATGCATTCTAGGACGATCGGTTGTAGACCTATGAATCTCTTTACTTCGACTCTCTTGAGCCAAAGCTTTTTGTAAGACTTGATTAATGTTCAAAAACTCATAACTTTCTAGCCTCTCTTTAATGTGAGTTTTCAAACCATTAAGAACAATATCTGCCAAGTCTCTCTCAGTTATCACTAAGCTATAACATCGGTTTTTTATGTCTCTAAATCTCTTGACATAATCAGTGACCGATTCATCATGTTTTTGCCTAACCGATGTAAGATGTGACAACTTTAGCTCATTATCGCCGCTGTAAAAGTGATCATGAAACTTTTGCTCTAATTGCGACCATAAGAGAATTGAGCCATGTGGTAAAGCAGCAAACCATGAAAATGTGGTGCCAGTTAAAGATAAGGGAAATAAACGTACTTTCAACTCTTCTATGGAACCTGCTTCACCCAACTGTGCTAGATACTGACTCACATGCTCCCAAGTTGTTTTCGTACCCTCACCACTAAATTTAAAAAAAATCAGGAACCTTATAACCTTGAGGGTAAGAAATTGCATCGAAGTGTTCAGGATAAGGCTTTTGATACACACGACTCTTTACTTTCAGCTCGTTTCCGAAAGTTTCTAGAAACATCTTATGCAAATCCTCCCTTAATTTAGCTAAAATTGGATCCGATGTAGATGAAGATGTTTGTGGCAATGACATAGGAGCAACCTGAGTACTCCCTCCGATTCTTTTTTCTCTGCGCATAAGTAGCGTTCCAGATACCAAGAAGAGCCCAGCTGGTTGTTTTTTGGACTGTTTTACCCTTGTGCATGCATGGAAAGCGCTGGACATTTTCAGTTACTGCATGCATTGGATTGGCCGGTCCATGTGGCTCCTCTTATCTCTCCCAGACCCGCAGTACGGGCCCGCTGCATGGCGTGATTCATTGGCTGCCATTTCGTTGCAGCTGCCAAAGCAATGCTAATTACTCCGGTCAAAGGAGGGTATGCTCGGAAACTTGCCAACGCGCGCAGACTATTAAGGAAAAAATCAAAATAAGTTATGCGCAGACTAAAGCGGATCGGAGGGAGTACTAGCTATTGGTGCAACTTGTGGGATGGGCACCGAACCATAATTCGGCGGAAGACCAAACATGCTTGCGCCTATGGATGGTGTGACAAAGTGATTCGGCGTTGATGCCGAATTGGGCACACTCATAATAGGATTAGGGTATGTAGGTGTAGTCACAAGCTGGTTGGTTTGACTAGGGTAAAAATTCAATGGCATACTATATTGTTGTTGTATAGGAGGTGCCGATGAAATAGGTAAAGTTGGACTAGCGTTTTCAGATACACCAACAGTACCACTAGATGACGGAGGCATATTTTTCTGAGCATTAGCACTAGCCACAAAAGAATTGTATGCCATCACATTACCCTTACTAACAAGACTTTCAATCACAGCCACTTGCTCCGGAGAAAAAACTTTACTCACAGTGATTACATCTTGTTCGTCGATGAGGGGAGGAAAAAAATTGACGTTTCCAACCGGAGTGATGTTGCCTTGACAGTCCTTCTTGAAACTTGAAAGAAACGCTTCCAAATCCTCCTCCTCGCGCTTCTTCTTGAGCGCCTCAAAAGCCTCTTCATGCTGCTTCTTGTGCGCTTCGTAGGCTTGGCGATGTTCATCCGATAGCTCATCAAGACCGGGCTTAATGATGTTATCGGTGTCAACTTCTGAAGGCTTGGGGAGATTAGACATGGTTGATGATGATTCTTGATCTTTCGTCCCCAGCGGAGTCGCCAAAAAGTGTGTTCGCACACGAACACGTCACCGTGTACCTCCGACGCCGAGTGTGATGCACCGCAGCTCGCGCCGAAGGAGACCCGTCCGGAAGCGCGGTACGCAAGCAATCCGGCGGGCGCTTTTGAGCACCCGAAACCCCACGCGCCTGGGAGGGACCCCGTCTGGACGCGCGGCGGCTATGGGATGCCCTAGGTCGGTTCGCCCGCCCCTAGAGCCTCGAGGATCGCTGCCCTTCAACATGAAGAACGAACGAAGAACGAGAGAGAAAGAACAAGGGAGGGATGTAAAACTAGGGTAAAAAGTAGATTGATTGTTCGATTGTGTGTTGTTATTCAATCGGTCGTCACCCCTTAGGTATATAAGAGGCGGCTGGACTTCCCGTGCAAGGAAAAGGCTTGGATTCACGTCCAAAACCCTAGTCAAATTCGGATTGGTCTTGTCCGAACTTCCAAAACTGTTCGGTTTAAACTGGCTGCACCTTGCGGGTCTTTTTTGTGGTGGTAAACTATCTCGGATGGAAACGAGTCCAAAAGCAATCTTGACCGTTTCGACGATACGAACAACTTTCATGTTGAACGTTTTTTGATCAGAGGTCATCTTGAGGGTCAAATAGCTCACGCAAAATATCTCTTTACTCGCGCTACCAATCAGACATGCTGTCTGGTGGGGCGCGCCATATTTCGCCTCGTGACAGGGCTGCACTCCGATTGCTCTAACTTTTGCATACGAACTCGGATTTGGACGATTTTTATATTATAATCGATCGTTTCGACGAGACGAAGACAATCGATGTAGATTATTTTTCCATTTGAGGTCTTCTTGGGGGCTTAATCGGCCAAACTGTACTCTGAATATAAGATCTTAGTACTTTGAGCATAGTTTCGGCCTTCGAGATGAAACCGAACGGCGATGACCCAAACTTTAAAGATGTTTATATCAACAATACGGAACTCTTTCATGAAGATCACTTCTCCATTTGAGGCCATCTTAAATAAGTTATTGACCGTGCCAAAATCTGGTGTCAACACCTTCCCTCTGACTGCCGCTCCGGCGGCTTATGACGGGGAGGGCAATCATGATGCCTTAGCTCCGACTAGTAATTTAGCTTAAGGTGGGCTTGACGCGGCAGGTCGACACTTCTTCTCCGTTCCACACGCAGCACGCTGCTACTATTCCTCCACAGGCCCCACCCCCAGGCCCTCCATCATTCTTCTACTGTTTGTAGAAACAGTTCCTGAAATCTTCACACAGCCTGCAAATTCAGAATAACAAAAAAGGTGGCTAGTTGGATGATCGACACTCTATTAGTAGAACTTTTCCGTCAGTCTTTTTAAATATAAATGACACAGTCCTTTCCCGGCAGGCAGCAAATTCTTGAGGCAAATCAGGTCGTGGTGTATGTAGCTGCCTACCAACAAGACATGTTTTTTTTTTTTTGAAACGGACAAGACATCATTTCGTTGTAAAGGATAAAACGTACTGTAATCAGAACACACCTGGCTCTGGCTGCCTGCCTGCCTCCTCTGCGCGTGTGTTTGTCTGACCCGGAGCTAAGCTGGAGTATTTCCCTGGGCTAGCTGTTGCACCTTCTTCCTTCGTAGCGTCATCCGGTACGTAAAGCTTAGCCTGAAACGTTTACTAATCCAACAATAATAATCACTAGATCTAGTAGTTAATTAAGCCTCTAGCATCAAAATCGCGTGTTAAATGCAGCTCAAATATGAAGCCATGCATGCATGCGCGCAGCATGCTCCGTCCAGGAAGATGCAGAAGGGAATCCACGGATGAACCAACTAAACTACTACTCCTACCTCGTATATGTGTGTGTATTATAGTCGGCTCTGGTCTGTGTTGAATGATTGATTGATGTTGCGATACCTTATCCTTATAATACTACCACCAATTAACTAGCATATATATGTCATTTGGCGTGCATACGTCTACTGGCTGCTACATGCATATCATACACCAACTCAGTTCCAAAACAGATGACGCTTTACAAGGGTTGCAAACAAACTTCTCTGCTAGTTATTTCTTCTTCGAAAAGGAGGTTCAAACACCTGGCCTCTGCATCAATGTAATGTATACAACCATACTTATTAAAGTTGATGTAAATCATCAACAACTATAGTACTTAGATAACATAGATAACTATGACATAATACGTAATAAAATATAAAATTGACACGTATGACTAAGTCGATTTCTTCCATAACAATGCCTTCAAGAAGAAATAAACGTTCTTGCATCACCGCCGTCACGTCCAACCAAAAAGGATGAAGACAAGGGTTTTTCATCATAGTTACTGAGGCCAACCACTAAAGGCCAGCACATCGGTAGGAAGACAATGTCTTCAACAAGATAACGATGCAAGTTCGCCGCTGTTGAGCCAACCAGTCAAGGTCAGAACAAGACTCTTCACTCAGCACATGAAGCAGTTAGGTGGGCTAGGTGGAAATAGTATCATGATATTGGCCATAAAACTAGTTGCACAACATAAACATTTATTTGATTTGTGCCATACATTCTCATACAAAAGGTAGCGGTCAATGTTAACAATGTACAAAGTAAAACACAACACTATCTATTTTAGTATACTAGTATAATAACCGAGCGATTGCCACGAAACTCATCAATAATTTAAAGTAATAGAAGTACTCTACACACACCAACAACTTCTTCCATACGAAGGAAGGGACACTGGTTTATCCCCATCTCTGACCCTTTCTTGTGCACGCAGAATCGCAGCCATGCACACGGAGGGAAACGAGTCCAAGTTCGGTTCACCATTTCTCTTGCCATCCTGCTCTAACCACGGCGACGCCCCTATATAAGCATTAACGACGCCGTGCGTCCGCTTGCAAAGACAATCCACAACAGAGACACAACACACACGCCATGTCGTCGACGTTGTCCAAGCCAAAGAGAGCAGGTGGCCTCCAGGGCCCCAGGCCGCAGCCGCTGAGCCTGTCGACCCGGCCGTCCAAGAAGCCACGCGTTGGCGGCCACGCCGGAGCAGCCGGGCCTGTGATCGTGTACGAGATCACGCCGAGGGTCGTCCACGCCGACCCACACGAGTTCATGGCCATCGTGCAGAGGCTCACGGGCAATTGCAAGCAGCGGCCGTTGACGGCAGCGACGACGTGGCCACCAGAGGCGACGTCCGGAGCTAGGGACGGCAGGGCATCAACCTCGACGGCCGCGGACGCTTTGGTTCTCACGCTTAGCCAACAGCAGCGTGCGCCGTGTGGTGGTGATCATCCGGCACCTTCTTCCCCGGCTGCCGCATCACCGCTGCTGTCACCCAGCAGCTTCTTCTTCTCCCCGACCACCATGCAGGCGATACGGGAGCTCATCAGCTGATACGGCAAGTGCTTTGTTCGAGTCGATCAGCTTGCGAAATTTGAAGATCGGCCCGGGTGATGATCATATGGACAGTACTTGTCTTAGTTTGTTCACCAATTTTCTCTCTCCCTCGCTCTAGCCACTGTACGATTCTTACTAATTATGTTAATTAGAGTTTTGCACACACACATTGATAAGTTGGATTCATTGTTTCAAATTCCACTTTGAAATATTTCAAGCATAACTGAAATGTCTGAAACTTCTATAATTTAGGCTTCGGCGTCTTTGGCCCGAACCGCCGCCTCCACCGCAACCTCGGCTCGTCCCTACCATTAATTTAACTCTGTGCATTCGGTTTATTCTGTTTACATGGTTCGGTTTATACTGGTGTTTAGTTTAACAATACTAATACTTCGGTAAATACAACATGAAATTAAAATACAACCCTGTTTTGTATATATAAAATTATTTAGGTATATATCATAATAATCAAAGTTGACGCGAATTTGAAAATAACATAATAATAGTTTGCAAATTTATGACTCAAAACATATACTTATTTACACAAAATTATATGCATGCATGGATTCATGCCTTGATGGTTATGGACATGCTTAGCTTGTTTTTAAGCGAAAAATGACTACACTACAAGGAAAATGGATGTGCTTAGCGTGGAATCTAGCTCATGAACAAGAAAAATGACAACTTGTATGATTGTTTGTCTCAAGAAATATAAATATATATTTTTATTTCGATTTACTCAGTTAACCATTCAGTTTTCGGCATATACCATAAAAATCAAAATTCAAAATAGTATGAAAAGTTCACACCATACTGAAACCAGAAACCATAAAAACTGTAAAATTGATGAGATCCGGTCTATTTTCCGTATGGTTTTTCATTTCGGTTTAAAAATGCATGGAGTGACTCTCGCTTCCCTCGCACCAGCCGCTGTGTCTCCACATGTACGTCCAGCAGATGGATGGATCCAAACGAGCGTGTGAATGTGTGTTTGTGTTTACATCGTGTTAAAATCAATTCCTGTAGGTCGGCAGTGGAGAAGCTGCTGCCGCTGCACACGGTGGTGTAGCCGGCGCGCCTCTGGCCCTACATCGTCGTCGACTCCGCCTGCTGGAGCCCGCTCTCCCAAGGATGTGACCGTTATTGCGCATATGCTCCTAGGAATAAGAGATTGGATGATGTTGATTCTACAGGATTTATGAGTCTTTCAGTAAGGAAATAGTACTCCCTCCGTCCAGGTGCATAGGGCGTCTAACGAAAAATTAGTATTTCAAATATGCTCCCTCCTTTCCGGTTTATAGAGCTTATCTCAAAATTTTAGTTTTTCCATTTTATAAGGCTCAATTTGATTGTCTCCCATCACATGTTCAGATTCCAAGGTGCATTAAATCTCTGCATGCAATTATTAAGAGAAAATTGACCAATGCATGTAATTTATGCATGTATGCATTGCAATTAATGCATTGATAAACATACTTTTTTGAGGAAAATAAGAGCATTAATTTGGGTGATTTTGCAAACTCTAAAAGGTATTCCACCACTCATCATCTACCTTGGTTGGTGAGATTTTTGAATTGAGCCTTATAAACCGGAAAGGAGGGAGTATAGGTCACCATGCGTGGAATAAGTTCCTCATTCTTCATGATCATTAATTTTCATTTTGCATGCTAACATTTTCATTGGTTGGCGCATTAAATAGGAATTGCATGTTGCTATTTAGGAATTAATGGCATGGGAAACCAACGTGGTTGGCTCCTCCCAATTTTTCAAGTCGGCCAAATAGGAATCATTATTGTCATTGATTTTTGGTTTAGTCTTCTCCATCCAATCTCCACACACCTAGGTTGCGATGCAGCACCTTAGATGCCCTATGCACGTGGACAGAGGGAGTACTAGACATTGTTACCGTGGAGTTAATGTGTCTAAATAATAGTGGTATTCACCTACTACACTTACTTGTTTTGAAAAGGATAACACCTCAAATATAATGAAAATTACATCGAAATTTCAAGACTACTAAACGACCACTAACCGTCACAAGAATGAGCTGCCAATGTGCCGCTGTTGTCGCCCCTTCTACACTGTGATAATGTTTTAGAACACCTTGAGGTCAGTTGTTCATTAATGCCAGTTGGCTCTTTCTTTATGACGGTAGTTAGTAATTACTTTCTCTGTCCGAAAATACTTGTCCTACAAATGGTTGTATCTAGACTTATTTTAGTTATAGATACATCCATTTTATTTATTTCTACGACAAGTATTTCCGGACGGAGGGAGTAACACCCATCGTTTTAGCGCCAAGTAGATAAACAATCTCTTTCTTTTACTTGATAAACAGTCTCTTTGTTTCTGCAAGAAAGGAAAGCATGGAATGTCTTATCTACTGAATTTGCTTGTCATAGGTTTTCAAAAGCGCATCTGGTCATGGTAATTTTGTTTATTTAAAATATACGTCGTTAGTTGCACATACATAGTTTTAGAGTTTTTCTATCGAGTATATTTTGTAGTATTAGGTTGATCCAATGATTAGCACTGGTCGGTCAGATTATGACAGACATGTTGGTAATTCCTTATCAGGGGTAGATTTATATTTTTCTAGTTTTAATCGTAATGATAATGACAAACCTATTGTTAGGGAGGTCCGACGGTACGTGATCTTTTCTCCCCTTTTCCTTGGCAGCAAGGGCAAACTCTTCCCTCTAGGCTTCGTCAGCGAGCCCGTGGGTTCACCTTCCCTCTGACTGCTGCACCGGCGATTGATGGCGAGGAGGGCAATCCTGGTGCCTTAGTACCGGCTAGTAGTTTAGATTGAGGTGGACTTGGCACAACACGCTGACACGCTTCTCCTCCATTCTACACGCACCACGCTGCCCCTATCCCTCCACCATCCCGGCCCCGCCCCCAGGCCCTCCGTCATTCCTCTACTGTTTGTGAAACAGTTCCTGAAATCTTCACACGGCCTGCAATTCAGAATAACAAAAAAAGTGGCTAGTTCGACACTCTACTAGTAGAACTTTTCCGTCAGTCTTTTTTACTTAATGACACTGATTTTAGTACAAATCACAAAAACCGGTTTCGAACCACTCGGGCTCTCGCAACCGCGTTGGCCCGGGGGCGACCGGCCGCGCCCCGGTTCCTCCTCTGCCAGCTCTCCATCACTCCCTCCTCCCCGCCGCCGTCGCCGGCGTCCGCCGCCGGGCCTGGCCCGGGCGACACTGGTGGTGGCGGCCCCCGGCCATTTCCCTCTCGGTTGCTCTCCGG